GAAGTTGGAGGCTGCTGTGAGCTGTGAGGCCAGGGCACTCTACCCAGGGCAATAGCTTGAGACTCTATTTCAAAAAAACAAAACAACCAAACAAACAAAAAACCCCCAAAATAATAATAATAAAATAAAAATAAAGTCTAAATCCAAATAACACTAATAAACTAACATGTTAGAATCCAAATAAACCTACAAGTTTTTATTCAACAAAACATTAAATTTTATAAAAATCCTAAAGTGTGTGGTTGGGAGTTAACTATAATTTGTTTCCTTCTTTTTTGAGAATTAAAAAACAGTAACAAGGCTGGGTGTGGTGGCTCATGTCTATAATCCTAGCAGTCTGGAAGGCCAAGGTGGGCAGATTGCTTGAGCTCAGCAATTCGAGACCAACCTGAACAAGAGTTAAGATTGTCTCTTGGGGTGCCCAGAGCTCAGTGGTTAGGGTGCCAGCCACAAGCTCTGGGGCTGGTAGGTTAGAACCCAGCCCAGGCCTGCTAAACAAAAACAACAACAAAAATAGCTGGGTGTTGTGGCGGATGCCTGTAGTCCCAGCTACTAGGGAGGCTGAGGCAAGAGCATCATTTAGCCCAAGAGTTTGAGGTTGCTCTGAGCTATGATGCGTGGCACTCTACCAAAGGTGACAAAGTAAGACTCTGTCTCAATAAAAAAATAAATAAAAAAGACTGTGTCTCTACTAAAAACAGAAAAACTAGCTGGGCATTGTGGTGGGCGCCTAACGTCCCAGCTACTCAGGAGGCTGAGCCAAGATCACTTTATCCCAAGAGTCTGAGGTTGCTATATGACCTATGACACGATAGCACTTTACTCAGGGCAAAAATACAAAAACAAATCAAGTAACAAAAACCTTAATATTCCTCAACACAATTAAGTGTAGCCAACAATTCAAATGACTGAGTTGCTTAATAAACCCTCTGCTCAATCCCAAGCCGCCCTGAGGGAAATGAAAGGTTAGTGCATGCACATGAACAAGTTGTTGACAGTGTATCCTCCAGCCCTATCTCACTCAATAACTCAAATTACAAATACCCTATCTCACTCAATAACTCAAATTACAAATAAAAAAAGGAATCTAAGAATGACACCCCATGCCGCCTTCACGAATCCTGGTGGCAGCAGGTCCGGCTTTGAAATGCAGAAAAACTCTGGTGAGTTCATGACCTCTATGTGCCACAGAAATGTTCCACTAGCAATTGCATCATCGGTGCTAAGGACCATGCATCCATCCAGATGACAGTGGCTGAGGTTGACAAGGTTACTGGTAGATTTAATGGCCAGTTTAAAACCTATGTATCTGTGGGGCTGTTCAGATGATTCCATTCTCTGATTATCCAAGGCTTATGGCATCGTTTCAAAGAATTTCTGATGGAGAGAATCAGGGATGTGGAATGTTATGACATAAGTAAATTGCGAAACCCAAGACAGAAAAAGTGACAACTCATATAGTTACCTCATTACATTCATCCACAAGGATAAAGAAGAGATCAAATCGGGACATGATGGGAGCTGACAAGTTTATATTCTGTTTCAATGATTTTGATCTGTCATAGTGTCCACCGATTGGATTTGCAGCTGCCAAAATGGATGTTCTGGCATTGAGAGTAGCCTGACCACAAATGAAAAAATTGTGACAGATTTAAAAAAAACATCAGGACTGGCAAATAAACATATGACAAAATGTTTAATCTTACCCATAATAACTAAATGCTGACCAAAGTAATGAATGTCCTTTTTTCACATAAACAGCAACTTTCCTTTAGGCATCAATTTATTAGAAATTTATCTTGCAGTTAGATATAGGGCATTACAATACTGTTATTAATCAAAAGACTGAAAATGACACAAATGTCACTCTATAGGAGTCTAAAGAACCAACCATAGGTACAGTGGCTCACAACTAAAATCCTAGCACTTTGGGAGACTGGGGTGGATGACTTCTTGACCTCAGGACTTCCACATTAGCTTGAGGAAAAGCGAGACCCCACCTTTACTAAAACAGTAGAAAAGTAAGTAGCTGACATTGTGGTAGGCACCTGTAGCCTTAGCTACCCAGGAGGCTAAGGCAGGAGGATTGCTTGAGCCAAGGAGTTTGTGGTTGCTGTGAGCTAGGACTGATGCCATGGCACTTTAGCCTGGGCAAAAAGAGTGACACTATGCTTTTAAAAAAAAAAAAAAAAAAAAAAACCCATGAAGTAAATAAGATTCCCTAATGGGTGCTGGTATGCAAAGATTGCCAAAATAAAATTATGACACTAATTGAGCAAGGAATAAAACTATACGTATTATGCTTATTTATATGTAGAATATTCCTAAAAGGGGCACAAACTCAATAAATACCTTTGTTTATCTACTGGTGTTAGGAGTTGCTGGGGAAGATTCCTTTTCAATTTATACTTTGTGTATGGCTTAAATTTTTTTTTATTAGTTGAATCTATTACCTTTATTTTATTTTATTTTAATTTTTATTTTTTGGAGACAGAGCCTCAAGCTGTCGCCCTGGGTAGAGTGCCATGGACTCACAACTCACCAGCAACCTCCAACTCCTGGGCTCAAGAGAGTCTCCTGCCTCTGCCTCCCAAGTAGTTGGGACCATAGATGCCCCCCACAGCGCCTGGCTATTTTTTGGTTGCAGCCTTGGTGGGCCCAGGCTGGATTCGAACCTGCCACCTTAGGTGTATGTGGCTGGCGCGTTAGCCGCTTGAGCCACAGGTACGGAGCCTATTACCTTTATTTTAAAAAGTTTATTCTCCCTAACACTGACTATAATATTGTACTTTTATTTAAATAATTTGTTGACTGGCTAGGAGTGGTGGCTCACACCTGCAATCCTAGCACTCTGGGAGACCAAGGCAGGTTGATTGCTTGAGCTCATGAATTCGAGACCAGTCTGAGCAAGGAGTGAGACCCCGTCTCTACTAAAAAATGAAAAACTGAGGCAAGAGGATCTCTTGAGCCCAAGAGTTTAAGGTTATTGTGAGCTATGATGCCAGGACACTCTACCAAAGGCAACCAAGTGAGACTGTCTCAAAAAAAAAAAACAAAAAATAATCTGTTGACCAGCAGATTATTTTTATCTTTATTATTTTTGTCATAATTATGCTTTATCGAAAGAAATAAGCTCGGTTCATGGAAATTTTGAGATGTGAAATGCTAAAAATGTCATCAATACTTTCTCTACTTTCTGTCATACCAACATATTTACATAGTACCCTAAAAACCACCTATAGTTTGAATTAATAATTCTCAAAGCTGCATTTTCCATTTTTATGAACAGCATTACACATTGACGTAATGAATTTCATGCAGGTAAACTTCTCTAGTACTACCTTTGTCTTCAAGGCTAAGGCACAATGCAGTGGAATAGAAGTGGACACACATAAAACAATAGCTGGGCATTGGGGCCAGTGCCTATAGTCACAGATTCTTGGGAGGCTCAAGGAAGAGAATCACTTAAGCCGAAGAGTTTTGAGGTTGCTATGAACTGTGATGCGATGGTGCTCTACTGAGGGCGACATAGTAATACTCTATCTCAGGAAAAAAAAAAAAAAGGAAGTGAACACACAAACCTTCACTCCTGCTTTCGTGATGGATATAGTCTGTTGTTCCATGGCTTCATGAATAGCAACTTGATCCCGAATGTCCATCTTATCAAATTCATCAATACAACACACACCCTGCAGCCAAACAAATCTAATCTAAGAAGCTGCCTTTCAGATGTAAAATCATAAGTAAACTCAGAGTTTGCTATTACAGAGACCTTTCTATTCTCCACACAAGACAGACAGGTAAGTAAGCATTCTAAATTCCCTATTATAAGCAAGAAAATTCATTAGATTCCAGAGCAAGAAGGAACCACACAATTGACTTAAAATTAAAAGCTCAACTAAAAATATACAGATACTTACGACACTTTCATGTAACACTGTGCTAAAACCTCTTGTGGACTCCAATGTCAAGACATTCTGGTTGGCCAGGTGTGGTGGCTCACACCTATAATCCTAGCACTATGGGAGTCTGAGGCAGGTAGACTGCCTGAGCTCAGGAGTTTGAGACCAGCCTGAGAAGAGTAAATCCCTGCCTCTACTAAAAAGAAAAACTGGCTTGGCGCTTGTGGCTCAAACAGCTAAGGCGCCAGCCATGTACACCTGAGTTGGCGGGTTTGAATCCAGCCTGGGCCCGCCAAACAATGATGGCTGAAATAAAAAAATAGTTGGGCTTTGTGGCGGGCGCCTCTAATCCCAGGGTGACAGCTTGAGGCTGTCTCAAAAAAAAAAACAAAAAAAAACACATTCTGGGCGGTGCCTGTGGCTCAGTGAGTAGGGCACTGGCCCCATATATTGAGGGTGGTGGGTTCAAGCCCAGCCCCGGCCAAACTGCAACAAAAAATAGCTGGGTGTTGTGGTGGGCACCTATAGTTTCAACTACTTGGGAGGCTGGGGCAAGAGAATCACCTAAGAGAGTTGGAGGTTGCTGTGGGCTGTGTGACGCCACGGCACTCTATTGAGGGCAATAAAGTGAGACTCTGTCTCTACCAAAAAAAAAGACATTCTGGGTCACCTTAGGATTGATTTTACATCTCCAACTTACACATATCCCCAGCTCTAATCCATCCATGTCAAATATAGATAAGATGCAGTTCTGTGTATGCCTACACCAGGGGTCCTCAAACTTTTAACCAGGGAGCCAGTTCACTGTCCCTCAGACCATTGGAGGGCTGAACTGCGGGCCCTGGGACGAGTCAGATGCTAAGCAGGACAGGCAGCAGTGGCAAAAACATTGGGCAGGCTGGCTATGTCCTAGGCGGGCTGTATGAGGCCCGCAGGCCATAGTTAGAGGACGCGTGGCCTACACCTACTCAGAGAGGTGTCATGTCCTAGAAAACAAAAAATGTCAATAACTATTGACTGCAAACTACACTTGCTCAAGGTAGGTAACATTCTGGAAAAGCTCAGAAAATGCTGACCAATGATAATCTCAGTTAAATTCTAGATTAACAAAACTATGAATTATTTACTTAAGAAAGCTTCTTAAAGAAGGACATTATTTCTAATAGAAACTTATAGGCCTTCACTGATAGAATAATGGGTACTCTGACTTCTTTATATCTAAGACTGTAAAATGTTCTTACATTATCAGCCAACATCAAAGCTCCAGCTTCAATGACAAACTCATGAGATTCTTCATCTCTCACAACAGCTGCTGTTAAGCCAGCAGCACTGGATGCTTTGCCACTGGTGTATACAGCTCTGGGGCTGAACTCTTCCACGTGCCTGTTCAAAATTATCACATAAAGACTCATTAACATGGGACTACACAGTGCCCTTCCCAGGAATATCAGCTAACAGGGGTATATCAATGAGAAATTTAAATTTCTGAGCATCTCAGAGTGTCATTAAGCTTAAGCAATTCATAAAGACATGAACCACAGACTGAATACAAAGCCTTTTCCTCTTATTTTAATTTTTTTCATAGTTCCAGGTCAACTTTATTATCTAATATAAGTCTAATTTCTAGAACATTAAAGTCAACTGTTCCAAAGTTTAACTAAAAACAAAATTTACAAATATTTAATATCTTCTGAAAAACATTTCCAAATTAAGAATGGAAAAAAATATGTACATAATATATGACTAAATACTAGCTGGCTTCAAATTCTATCAGGTCCACACAGAAATACAACTAGTCTTTTCAGGTTCTTCAAAATCTTCGGCTAAATCTACAAAATTGTTTTTGTAGATTTAGGAAAAAGAATGGAAAGCCCCACTGCTTTCTGAACTCCATACATGCTTACAATGTTACCTAGAGTTAACTGCTATGCAAGTATTTATCATATTGGGAGGTAGTCTGGTACTCAAATGCTCATTCTGGGCTTCCTGGAGCTCCCTGAGAGATTTTGTGGTCTCAAGTTTCTTCCGGAATACTTCAGCTTTTTCAGAGTCAAAGACTTCCTCTGGAGGAAATTTTTTACTGCTTTAAGTGCTGTAAGTCTGTCCTGAATACTGGAGTCCAAATGCCCTACTGACTCTATTTCTGTAATACCCATTTCCTTTGCTGAGTTAGTGTCCTGGTATGACCTTCATCTTCAGGAAATGACATCTCCAACTCTTGAAGGATACTAGAATGCCCTCTTTTTGTTAAAATATCCAGTAAAGTATTTGCCATAATACTGATAATCTTGGCACATGGCCAAAAACTCATGGATACTTAAATCACTTGGAAGATCAGAGTTTTCCCAATAGGTAGAATAAATTAAATCAGAATCATCCTTGCTGATATTTGCAAATGTGGAGTCATAGTGTGATGCATAAGGACCTGAAGGGTCCACAATTCAAGTGTAACACCAGACTTACTTTATTCCTTTTATCCTCTTTGAAGCCTTGCAAAGTATTCACTCCAGACTCAAGTTTTCCAATTGTCACTCCTAGTCTTACAGGGCAGTATCTTGGTTCTCCTACAATGGAGAACCTTATCTGCTTATCTTCTTTTAAGTTCACACTGACTGTTAAGAGTCCTTAATGATGCAGCCAATCTGTTCCTGTTCTCTCTCTACATTACTACTTTTAAACTTATCTTCAAGCATATATTTGTCTTTTTATTTGACATATTTGGACTTTTTAAAAAATTTCACCAGCACACCTTCCCCATCCTCATTGGGACTTTTTAAAGCTTGCCCTTCAGCATCTCCAGAGACTTCCCTGTCTAGGCCAGCACTGCCATCTTCCCTACTCTTCAGAGTGTCTGATCTATCTTTCTGCTTTTCAGTTTTCTGCAAGTCTGTCATGATGTCTAAGTGCACAGCTTCGTTGTGGCTTTATAATAAAATGGTCTCTGGTTTGTTGTAAAAGTTGTATTAGTAATTTGATTCCCCTCTTTTAAGTGGATTTAAATCCATTTCTAGGAAGGTGCAATGGCTCTTGCTTGTAATCCCAGCCCTTGGGAGGCCAACTAGCTTGGACAAAATAACAAGACCATGTCTCTCTAAAAAATTTAGAAAATTATGGCACGCACCCATAGCCCTAGCTACTCAGCAGGCTTAGGTGGGAGAATCACTTGAGCCTAGGAGGTGGAAGTTAGAGTGAGTTATGATCATGCCACTACACTCCAGCCTAGGTGACAGAGCAAGAGTAAAACCCTATCTCTAATAAATAAATAAATAAATAAATAGATCTACACCTATAAAATGGCAGATGAAGTTAATATGTGCCAAAAAATTGAAAATGAGTTTAATGATAAGCAGTTTAGCAACAATGATCCAAACAAACAAGCAAGACAAAACTAGATATAGAATTTCAGCAACAATGATCCAAACAAACAAGCAAGACAAAACTAGATATAGAATTTCAGAAATGCAAGATCAGTTTATCACCTGAAAAGCAATCAATATGCCATACCAATAATGAGTAAGAATCACATGACCATGTAAATAGATGTAGAAAAAGCATTTGACAAACCAACAGCTTTTTATGATAAAAATTCAACAAACTAGGAATAGAAGAGAATTTCATAAGCCTGATAAAGGGTTTTTCTTTAACCTAATAAAGGTCATGAAAACCCATAGCTAACATCAGATGAAAAGCTAAATGCTTTGCCCCCTATGATCAGGACCAAGACATAGATGTCTGCTCTTGTCACATCTATTTTTACATTATACTGATGGCTCTAGTCAATGTCAATTAGGCAAAACAGGCAGCCAGATTGGAAAGAAAGAAGTATTCCAATTACTATTATATGCAGATACATGTACAATCTTGAACTTACATAGTAAATCCTATAGAATTCACTAAGACATTAGTACAATAAGTACAATACTATTATGAGAGACAACACTGAACTATAGCACATGGAAGGCAGGAGCAGAGGGAGTAAGAAGAAAAAAAAGTCCCCTTTAACATAAGACTACTAGCTTCAAATCTAAAACTCAGTTCATGATATGCTTGCTCCAAACCAACTAAAAATGTTCTATGTTCTAGAACAGTATGGTAACAAATTTCCAGAACAAAGAAAGGTAGCCTGAGGTAATATAAGGAGCCTGTTTTGCAGGGAACTATATGTTGAGTTTTAATACTCATAGCTCAGTGTCACCTGTTACCTACAAGTTGGGCAAGTTACTGATGCTCAGAAGTTTCGTGACTCCCTTAAAAAAAAAAAGGGATCAATAACACACGCTTGGGGCTCGGCGCCTGTGGCTCAAGTGGCTAAGGCGCCAGCCACATACACCTAAGGTGGCGGGTTCGAATCCCCAGCCCGGG